AGTAATAATTGCATTGTAGTGCAGAAACGGAGCAAAAAAGACTTAAGGGCAGAATCAGCAAGAGTGATGCAGAAGAGAAATCAACAGGTTTGTTCATTCCCTGGTAAGACTGATGTGTTTATTCCAACTGAGAGAACAACTTCCATTGGTGACCATCTCATGGCAAAGAAACAGGCACTGCTTAGCTAGACAATGTTTACACTTCCTGTTTTATTTTATTTTTATTTATTTATTTATTTAAGGTTAATATACTGTTCAACATTCAGAATTTCATAACATTTATAATGGGCTTTAGGCTCATTTACCTAAAGTAAGTACAAGTAAGCAGCACTGAACTAGATAGTTATGTTTGCATAGTTATGTATAATATTGCATTGTTAGATTCTGGTGCCCTGTGGAAGTTATGGACTGCAGGTCTAGTCTCTGAAGAGTGGTCAATGCTGGGTGGAGCAGAACAGAATTGTAGTTCTAATACACCAGGTATGGGAAGACTGACATCCATTATCGCAGCAATCTTTAAAACTATATGATCTCCCATGCTGTAGACATGAGACTTTGAACCAAACAGGGATGGGGGGAGGGGAGTTCGATTCAGTTTATATTTAAAGATGAATCTACCAAATCGGAACTTATTGAAACAATACAAAACCAAATTGCATCCCTCCTTCAAAATCTGGACTGATATGAATTTTATGATGCAGCCGGTGATTAGCAAATTGCACCTATGAGGGGCAAAGGTGCATAGGTAAAGGTAAAGGGACCCCTGACCATTAGGTCCACTCGTGGCCGACTCTGGGGTTGCGGCGCTCCTCTTTATTGGCCGAGGGAGCTGGCGTACAGCTTCCGGGTCATGTGGCCAGCATGACTAAGCAGCTTCTGGCGAACCAGAAAAGCGCACGGAAATGCCGTTTATCTTCCCGCTGGAGTGGTACCTATTTTTCTACTTGCACTTTGACGTGCTTTCGAACTGCTAGGTTGGCAGGAGCAGGGACCCAGCAACGGGAGCTCACCCCGTCGCGGGGATTCGAACCGTTGACCTTCTGATCGGCAAGGCCTAGGCTCTGTGGTTTAACCCACAGCGCCACCCACATCCCTTGCAAAGGTGCATAAGGAGGAACAAATCGGTGAACATAACATTAAAGGTGCACTGCAAAATGTGCATGTTAGTGAAAACCGCATACAAAGATGTGTTTATTAGAAGAATTTTGCACCAAACTCTGGAGAATTTTCATAAGGATTTTTTTTAAAAAAATGCGAATTACTGCAGGAATGTAGAGAACTGAATTTAAGACTGGACAGATCAATTCCCAGGCCCAGATAATATTTGATTCAGGGTGTGGGCTGGGGATTGGATTGTGGCAGGAGTGCTAAGGAATAAGGCACCCCACCCTTGTCAGCTTCGCCTTTGAGCCGGTGCCAACAACTGGGCTCAAACTCTTCTGCCCTGACTGGGCTAGGAGAGCTGGGAAGCACTTCCAGAGACCTTCCACTGCAGGAGAGCAGGTCTAAGTGCAATGGACCCACAACTTTGAGCTGTGAGACCAAACTCAGCACCAAAGTCAGCAGAGTATGAATTACACGAACGAAAGCTCTGAAGCGTAACTTCCTTGAAGCCTTTTTACAGCTACTGCAAACTAAAAATAAACTAAGACTAACGGAAAAGGGACACGGGTGGCGCTGTGGGTTAAACCACAGAGCCTAGGACTCGCTGATCAGAAGGTCAGCAGTTCAAATCCCCGCAACGAGACCAGGGAGAAGAGTCGGTGGAAGAAGATTGGAAGAAATTTAAAGACTACTTACAGAAATATTGTAAAATTAATGAATGTTAGAATGATGTTGGATTGAAGTTAAGTGGTTTCTAGCTGTAATGGTATAAAAGAATATGGAAAAATTGGTTTTCAATACGTAAAAACCTAATGCTATAATATATTAAGATTAAAGATCAGGATTAAAAAGGAGGGAAAGGAATTGCTGGACTAATAAATTGAATTGGAATACAAAAAAGGGAGGTATGAGGAGGTCCGGGAAACAAGTAAATGTAAGAGAAGTGATGAAAAGATGGAATTGTTTTTAATTGGTTTTTTTTTGTACTTTGTATTTTTCTTTTTTCTATTGTTATTTTTCTTATCAATGTAATCTTTTTTTTGAAATTTTAATAAATATCATTAAAAAAAACAAAAACGAATCCCCGCAACGGGGTGAGCTCCCGCTGCTCGGTCCCTGCTCCTGCCAACCTAGCAGTTCGAAAGCACGTCAAAGTGCAAGTAGATAAATAGGTAGCATTCTGGCGGGAAGGTAAACGGCGTTTCCGTGCGCTGCTCTGGTTCACCAGAAGCGGCTTAGTCATGCTGGCCACATGACCCGGAAGCTGTATGCCGGCTCCCTCGGCCAGTAAAGCGAGATGAGCGTCGCAACCCCAGAGTCGGTCACGACTGGACCTAATGGTCAGGGGTCCCTTTACCTTTACCTAAAGACTAATGGAGGCTACTGGACTGCATGAGTGTTATAGTTTCTTATGCAGTCATCTTATCTCTACACAGGTAACAGACTCCCACAGTCGGGCAGGAGCGGAAGAAGTGATGAGCAGATTCCGCCGCCTCCTTTCTGAAAACATCATGAGATTCTTACAATGGGAGGGGTGAAATTTCCACAACCCTTTCACTCCACAGCTGCATCTCCACCTCTGGGGGCCCACTTTGGCTTCCTCTGATTTAGTAAGTTCTGTTGGACGTTTGGCTGCAGCTCATGCTTTACCCACTGAGCTATCCTAATGTATCATCTACCTTTTTTGTTACCCACCACCAGCACCACAGTGTATGCCTAGCTGAAAAGGGGCAGCTACTCTCTATTGCCTGGTGTTGGGCTAAGATAGGATGGAGGGTGATGCCTTTGAAAAGGTAATTCGCTCCAGTTATCCCCCAATGCAATTATGCCGGGCTCCAAACCACCTTCGCAACCTCTTAATAACCATCCCAGGGGAAATAGCACTAAAACGCAATGGGTCAAATGGTGAGGCAGCCCTAGTAGAATCTGATTAGTCTGTCACTCTTAGCTGTAATTTCCCAACCCCAAAGCAACCTGACACTGGGAGCAAGCAATGAAGAAGAAGAAGAGGAGGAGGAGGAGGAGGAGGAGGAGGAGGAGGAGGAGGAGGGGTTTGGACTTGATAATAATAATAATAAATTTTATTTATACCCCACCCTCCCTGGCCAGAGCTGGGATCAGGGCAGCTAACACCAGTAAAATTACAGTAAAAACATAATAAGGGGGAGGGAACCAATTTAAAATACAGGTTAAAATGCAATTTAAAATGCAGCCGCATTTTAAAAGTAACCCATAGATCAAAACCATAAGGGGAGGGAAACATAAGGGTCAGACTGAGTCCAAACCAAAGGCCAGGCGGAACAGTTCTGTCTTGCAGGCCCTGTGGAAAGATGTCAAGTCCCGCAGGGCCCTAGTCTCTTGTGACAGGGTGTTCCACCAAGTTGGGGCCAGTACTGAAAAGACCCTGGCCCTAGTTGAGATATCCCGCCTTTCACTCCCCTTAAGGAGTCTCAAAGCGTCTAACAATCTCCTTTCCCTTCCTCCCCCACAAGAAATACTCTGTGAGGTGAGTGAGGCTGAGAAACATCAGAGAAGTGTGACTAGACCAAGGTCACCCAGCAGCTGCATATGGAGGAGCGGGGAAGCGAACCCGGTTCACCAGATTACGAGTCTACCGCTCTTAACCACTACACCACACTGGCTCTCAGGCATCAGTCTGGGAATGTTCCCTGCCTGAAAGCCTGGACAGCCATGAAGAGAGTTGAAAGCAACTCAAGAGACCCAGAGATGGAAAGAAGATAAAGTACCGACCAGAGAAGAATGGCAGACCAAATTGATGGACTATGCCAAAATGGCAAGACTGACGGGAAAGATCAGAAATCCGGAAGACCAAATTTTTGTGAAAGACTGGAATAACTCTGTAACGTATTTGAGAGACTACTGTAAACAGTTTGAAATCTTGTAAGGTGACATGGACTTTGGAAATGATGAGTAAGTAATAGATAGTATAGTAAAGGTAAAGGACCCCTGACCATTAGGTCCAGTCATGGCCGACTCTGGGGTTGCGGCGCTCATCTCGCTTTATTGGCTGAGGGAGCCGGCGTACAGCTTCCGGGTCATGTGGCCAGCATGACTAAGCCGCTTCTGGCAAACCAGAGCAGCGCACGGAAACACCGTTTACCTTCCCGCCAGACCGGTACCTATTTATCTACTTGCACTTTGACGTGCTTTCGAACTACTAGGTTGGCAAGAGCAGGGACCAAGCAACGGGAGCTCACCCCGTCGTGGGGATTTGAACCGCCGACCTTCTGATCGGCAAGTCCTAGGCTCTGTGGTTTAACCCACAGCGCCACCCGCGTCCCTTAAGTAGATAGAAAACAGTAAAAGATGCTAAAATGAAAGACTGAATTGGAACCCAAGGAGGGATGGAGGGAGGTCCGAAGGTTCGGAGAACCTTTTGTTTTGTTTTTACTATTTTCTGTTTCTTTAATACTTGGATTGGTTATGATTGTTAAGAATATTATGTAAAAACCAAATAAACACACTTAAAAAAGAAAAGATGAGAAAGCGACTCAAGAGACAGCATGGCTTTTCAAGGTACATGGGTGTGTTTTCCTTGCACTGCTTGCTTAAAGAAACACATGCAATGGATTCTAAGCCACACACAACCGGAGAAGGGCCATAGCTCAGTGACAGAGCTCATGCTTCTCCCTGGTTCACCCTCCAGCATCTCAGGCATCAGGCTGGGAATGTTCACTGTCTGACAGCCTGGGCAGCCACTGCCAGTAAGGCCTTGTCCCACTAGTTTCCCCCAGTAAAGCCCATAGTTCACAGCTGAAGGTCAATTGGGTTTTCAGCAGATTGCTGCTTGTTCCAATTCAGCGGCAAATGAACCATAGAGCTGGAAGGGACCACGAGGGTCATCTGGTCCAACCCCCTGCAATGCCAGAATCTTTTGCCCAACACGGGACTTGAACTCACAACCCTGAGATTGAGAGTCTCATGCTCCACCGACTGAGCTATCCCAGGAATCGTGCTTTCCAGGGAATAACTGAGAGGCAAACACAACACCACTCAGTCTCGCGCTTTCCAGTCACCATCTCTTAGCCTAGCCTACCTCACAGGGCTGTTGCGAGGGTGAAATGGGGAGGAAGAGAACCATGTACATCACCCCGAGATCCTTGGAAGGTGAAAGTGGTCAATGAATGAAATAAATACAAATAAAATGATACTGAGCTAGGCAGACCAAGGATCTGACTTAGGATAATTGTCAGCTTATGCAACCCGTGACCTCACCAGCACATTGGTAGATATTGTAAGAATCTGCCTAAGAACCACCAGACAGTGTGGTTAAGAGTCCTGAACTAGGGAGACCAGGGTTAAAATCCCAACTTAGCCATAAGGCTCACTATGTAGTAATTATTATTATTATTATTATTATTATTATTATTATTATTATTTGTACCCCATCCATCTGGCTGGGTTTCCCCAGCCATTCTGGGCGGCTTCCAACAAAGATTAAAAATACATCAAAATGTCACACATTATAAACTTCCCTGACTATGTAACCTTGGGCCACTCATGGACTTTCAGCCAAGCCTACCTCACAGGGTGGTTGAGACTATTAGGGTGAAAAAATGCTATTTTCCTGCTTTGGCTCTGAATCTAACAGTTGTACTATATATATATACAGTTGTACTAATATATATATATATATATTATCAACATTAATAACATGCTGGCAAGCCAAATTTGGAAATGACAGTGGGAAATGTACAGATTTAAGGTTTCCAAAAATACTGAAGTTGTTTGCTTGTTTGCATTATACAATCATAGAACTATAGAGCTGGACCCAAGAGATGTCTAGTCCAACCCCCTGCAATGCAGGAATCTTGGCTAAAGCATCCATGACAGCTGGCCATCTAACCTCTATAGTGGTACCTCAGGTTACAGACGCTTCAGGTTACAGACTCCGCTAACCCAGAAATAGTACCTTGGGTTAAGAACTTTGCTTCAGGATGAGAACAGAAATCGTGCTCCGGCAGCGCAGCGGCAGCAGGAGGCCCCCATTAGATAAAGTGGTGTTTCAGGTTAAGAACAGTTTCAGTTTAAGAATGGACCTCCGGAACGCATTAAGTACTTAACCTGAGGTACCACTGTACTTAAAAACCTCCAAGGAAGGAGAGTCCCCAACCTCCTGAGGGTGACTGTTCCACTGCCAAACACCTCTTACTATCAGAAAGTTCTTCCTGATGTTTAGTCATTACATTACATTACATTAGTAGTATCACACCTTTCCTTCATGAGGTTCAAGGCGAGTCATACATTGTACTCTCCCTCCCAATTTTATCTTCACTGCAACCCTGAGAGGTAGGTTAGGCTGGCCCAAGATGACCCAGTGTGTTTCTTGCCTGAGCTGTGAACTGAACCCTATTCTCCTGGGTCCCTGGGCCAACGCTCTAATCACTTACAACTACGCACTGCATAGAAAGGGAAAGGGGAGGCCACTTCAGTGCATAGATGTCAACTTTCAGATTTGAAAATATAAGGGATCAGCAGCCTTGAAAATAAGGAATCAGCAGCCTCACCTGTCCCGGGGACAGTCTATGGGATATCTAACAATCCGGGTAGCAGCGGGAAGCAGCGGGAAACGGTGCTGGAATAAGGGAATTTCCCACAAAAAAAGGGGGAGGTTGACAGCTATGCTTCAGAGTTATGTGCCGGTCAGCACCCATCGAAATCCACAGCTTGCCCTTGCAGTTTGCCCTCTACCCCACTATGAGGAGCTGTTCCCTAACACCAATTGGGGGAGGGGGTTAATGGGGGGAAAGGCATCTGTTTTTACATGGTGAGTGTTGGAGAGGATTGATGAAATGGTCAGCAAAAGCAGGTAACAGTGTCAGGACTCTTGTGTGCTCTGAAAATAAGTCCGCTTTGCAGGCGCATGCCTGCACGGCAGCGCGCATTAAAATTCCACCCACCCAACACGTGGGCATCAACATGCGGAAGCCAGCACGAAAGCCAGACGTGCATGAGCCGTGATTAAATAGTCAGTTTCAAGTATGTGCATCAAAGCCCCGTATCCTTCCTTGCCGACAGTTAACGCTTCAATTAAAAGGATAGGCTCTCACAACTGTTTCCCAACAAGCCTGCCTTATTGCAATGCACGAGGGAACAGTGGCGAGGTGGGGGGAGATCAGCGGTTGCCATGGCAATGCAGCCCAGCAGGTGCGGAATATCTGTCCTGTGGTACCTATTTGAGAAGGAGAAAAGGAAGGGGTGGGGAGGCTTGGATGCTTTCGTATGACCATGGATGCTTTAGCTGAAATTCTTGCTTTGCAGGTGGGTTGGGTTAGATTGCACTCAGGGTCCCTTCTAACTCCACAGCTCTATAGGCCAGGATCATCTTTGGTCACCCTCTTTGGACAGAAAAGTCTTCCCATGATGTCTCCTGGCAGGGATGGGGAGCCTGGGGCCAAATGGGTCCCTTTGCGCCTCTTTATGTGGCCCTCATGACACTCCTGAGGCCACACCCCTCAGCTTCACACCCTCGTTTTGCCTGGCCAGAATCATAGCTGTCAACTTTCAGATTTGAAAATAAGGGATCAGCAGCCTCAAAAATAAGGGATCAGCAGCCTCACTTGTCCTGGGGACAGTCTACGGGATATCTAACAATCTGGGATAGCCGAGGGAAATGGCGCTGGAATATGGGAATTACCTGCAAAAAAAGGGAAGGTTGACAGCTATGGCCAGAATGTGTCCTTGAACTCTGATACGGCCCTTTGGATGACCTGGGTGGAGGAAAGGGGTGTGTGTTTAAAAAGTAGCTTGCCCTGCAAAGGTAAAATTATCATCATCAAACCTTTTATTGGCATCACATACAAACATCCAAAACAAATCAATACAGAATTACCACTTCCCCAGTGGCACAAAACATTTGCTAAAAGAAAGGAGGCAGAGCAGTCTATCGTCACATCTCTAGGTCTCCAGGGAGATCAGGTACGACGTGGCCCAGGGAGAGAGGGAAAAATAGTGGAAGTGAACAGCTGCCTTCGCAAATGGTGTAAACAGGAACGGTTTGGATTCTTAGATCACGGACTGCAGTTTCTTGAAGATGGACTTCTGGCAAGCGATGGGCTGCACCTCACAACGGTTGGGAGAAATGTTTTTGCCAAAAATCTCAGAAACCTCATCAGGAGGGCTTTAAACTGACTAATGTGGGGAGGGAGACAGTGCTCCTGAAGGTAGGAGTCTATCAATTGATGAAGATGATCATCCAAATGTCATAGACCAAATGGAGCAAACAGCACACAGACCTAGTGGTGGGAGGAAAAATCCTTAAATAAGAGACACGGGGAATGATTAATGGACTTCAATGTCTGTACACTAATGCGCAAAGCATGGGAAATAAACAAGATGAGCTTGAGCTCTTGGTACAGCAAACTAAATATGACATAATAGGCATCACTGAAACCTGGTGGGATAAGTCCCACGATTGGAATGTAATAATGGAGGGATACAATCTATTTCAGAGAAACAGACCAGACAAGAAAGGAGGAGGAGTGGCGTTATATGTCAGGGATGTGTATACCTGTGAAGAGATCCAAGATTTAGAACCTCAAAGCCAAAGTGAGAGCATTTGGGTCAAAATTAAGGGAGAGAAGAATAACAGTGACCTCATTGTGGGAGTTTACTATAGATCCCCAAGCCAAACGGAGGACATAGATGATGCCTTCCTGGAACAGATGGCCAAGCATGCAAAAGGAAGGGAGATAGTAGTAATGTGGACTTCAATTACCCGGATATTTGTTGGATGTCAAACTCAGCCAAGAGCATAAGGTCAAACAGATTCCTCACTGGCCTTGCAGACAACTTCATTGTCCAGAAAGTGGGAGAAGCAACAAGAGGAACAGCCATTTTAGATCTGGTCCTAACCAATGTTGATGACCTGGTTAGTGGGGTAGAAGTGGAAGGATCATTAGGCGCGAGTGATCATGCTCTTCTGAAGTTTACTATACAGTGGTGCCTCGCAAGACGAAATTAATTCGTTCTGCGAGTTTTTTTGTCTTGCGAATTTTTCGTCTTGCGAAGCACGGTTTCCCATAGGGTATTAACGGTTTTAAGAAAAAGGAAACAAACTTGCAAGACGTTTTCGTTTTTCGTCTTGCGAAGCAAGCCCATAGGGAAATTCGTCTTGCGAAGCAACTCAAAAAACGAAAAACTCTTATGTCTTCCGCGTTTTTCGTCTTGCGAGGCATTTGTCTTGCGAGGTACCACTGTACAGCGGAAAGGAGCAGCCAAGCATACTAGGACTCAATTTCTTGACTTTAAGAAAGCCGACTTCATAAAACTTAGGGAAGTGCTGGGTGAGATCCCATGGACAGTAATACTAAAAGGAAAGGGAGTTCATGATGGCTGGGAGTTTGTTAAGAGGAAGATAGTAAAAGCACAACTTCAGGCAATACCAATGAGACGGAAACATGGAAGGTGCCTAAAGAAGCCAGGGTGGCTATCTAAAGAACTTTTAACTGAGTTAAGATTAAAAAGGATGTGTACAAAAAATGGAAAAGGGGAAACCACCAAAGAGGAATTCAAACAAATAGCCAGCACGTGTCGACACAAAGTCAGAAAAGCTAAAGCACAGAATGAACTCAGGCTTGCTAGAGAGGTTAAAAGCACCACAAACAGGCTTTTATGGGTATGTTCGTAGCAAAAGGAAGAACAAAGAAACAGTGGGGTCACTCAGAGGAGAAGATGGTGAAATGCAAACAGGGGACACAGAAAGGGCTGAACTCCTCAATGCCTTCTTTGCCTCAGTCTTCTCCGATAAAGAAAACAATGCCCGACCTGAAGAATTTGGAGCAAATGATTCAGCAGAGGAAACACAGCCCAGAATAACTAAGAAGATAGTACAAGAATACTTGGCTAGTTTAGATGTATTCAAGTCTCCAGGGCCAGATGAACTGCATCCAAGAGTATTAAAAGAACTGGCAGATGTGATCTCAGAACCACTGGCAGTCATCTTTGAGA